AATTGTCACTTGCTTTTATTCTTCAGAACACAACTTTCACTAACCACGTCTTCGCCCAGCATTATTTCCTCGTTCACCAGCACTTCCTCCACGTTGTCGGCCCTGACGACGCTGTTCTTGCTCGTCCCCATGTTCTTCTCTATGTTTCGCTTCTTCTGCTCCTGACCAATCTTCGTCACTGTATCGATTGCTATCACCTCTGAAGAAAAAACGGATTCCGGGATTCACAAGACAAGCAAACGATTACCAAGGGAAATACTGAAGCTCTTGAACATTGTTTACCTCCAAGGTCTTGCTCCCGTACTCGAACCTCCATTGGTTGACCCTCCATTCTGCGCACCAACATTGCGATAATTACCACCTCGACCACGTCCACGGCGTCCACCACGTCGGTCAAATCCACCACGGTCACCATATCCGTTACGTTGGTAACCATCTACAATATTTATGAAAGAATTCGGAAAAAAGGGGTGGAGAACAGACGCATCGCCTACCTGAATTCCTCTGGAATCTTTCACTATTGCTATACGCTTGCCGCATCATATCTTCTATATTGTTTCGCAATCCCTCGGTTTCTTTCAGATGGTTAATTTGGAAGTCCACCAGGAAAGCAGCCATTGATGTCGATTCCCTAGAAGTACTCTTTTCCTTACAGGAATTAGGGTTAAAGGTACGATCTTCTGAAAGAGGATCTTCCTTATGGACAAGGAGAGCAATCCACAACAGCAGAAGTGTACTATTTTGGCTACTCGAAGATGCATAGCAAGGAGGTTATAAATTTGTAACAGCTGGATGGTTCTGTTGTGTCCGCCCAGCAAGACATACGCGCGTGGCGGACATCATGCTTGACAACGCGACGGGGCTCAGCGCGCTGCGCCGCACCCTGCTTGGGTGCCGGCTGTGTCCGGGGAGTGGTGACTTACGCAGGCCACGACAGATCGCTCTAAATAGCTGTAGGAATTAAATCCAGCGCGAATTGTACTTGTCAATAGAACACAGACGTTGCCCATCAGCGCTTCCTTAACCAACGACTTGCAAGCCCCCTCCCTGCATCGCCATTCGACACGTCTAAGAGTCACGTAGTACGCGCTGCTCGTCTACGTCCTCTCACTTATATAAGAATCGATAGGTTTGATTAGGATGTGATAGGTCTTTTTTTAAGATGGTTTGATACCTAGAATCTGAAACGTAGAAAAAGACATTTCCGGAATGAAACCTGGTGGTCGCAATCTTAGCTGAAGGACCGGTCGCGCAAAGCGTAGCGTACTTGCCAAATGACGTATCCTAGGCAGCAGGAACATCAGGCTATCACAAATCTTCAGTTTCATTGCACGATAAGGATGTACCTCTCAAAAAATTGCTCGGTAGGCAGTAATTTCGGCGCTGCCGGCTTTCCGGGGTGGGGGGGGGGGCATTTTGCAGTGTTACCAGTTTCTCTAGAATTACACGCCTCTTCGGTGGAATCTGTAGACCCTTGCCAAGTGCAAACGAAGTTCATGCTGCTGCATACTTTTAAAGGAACCTGTCTCCACAGAAGGCTTTGGCAGCAATCGATGGGAGCCAGCAAAATGCCCTCCCCCCAAGCCGAAAGGCGGCGTGATTTAATTATTATGATTTCGTACGAGACTTACCTAGTACCGGTGAACGAAAACGGGACAGGATCCATATTGTCATCATCTTCACCGGCAATTTGAACACGTATCACACCCGATTTATCAACGATTTCCTGATAATCAGTTCCGGATATTATAGAAATTTGGAATACACAATAAGTAGAATTCAAGAGCAAAATCTTCAAAGAACAGAAGAATTTCAAAAAGGCAGCGGACACCCAACTAACCTGGATACACTTTCCATTCTTACCGATCAATTTGCCTACCAAAAACCGGGGCACATGTACACACTCGACTCCAAAGTCAAGCTGCGCACGAGCTTTTTGTGCTGCTGCGGCTGTCTTCGCAAATATCTAAAAAATAAAACAGTATAAGCGTAGTCGAAGCCCAGGGGACTAACTGCCTGAGAGGGAAAACATAATGGTCTAGGTGCTTATCATTCTTTCGACCGCGTTCATACTTGCCAAATGTAAGGAGTCCACGAGGATGTACGAAAAGAGGGTACATGGTCCGTTCGCTGGGGATGAAAGTTATGTCAGACGGGAGGGGTTTGGCGCAGCGCCAAACCCTCTTTACAACAGCTTTCGAAGTGAGCAAGCGACAAGATTGTATCACATCGTTGGAATCAGTCGTTTTCTCCCCAACTGTTGCCCCTTACCCACCTCAACAACTGGTAGAGAACGGGTCTGGCCCTGCGCCAAACCGATGCCGCCAGACACACACCTCAATCAGTAGTGAACAGCACTG